CTGCCATTGATAGGCCGCAGGTGTGTACACCTGCTATGGCTATGGCTGTTGTATATAGAAACCCGCCGTTTCTGCATTGATCCAATCACCGAGTCACCGTGCACGACCTAGCTAAAACAGCATGTATAAATAAACACTTACATTTTTTATCATTCGGAAATGAGGCGGAATCACTGAAGCACGGCGCCTCGAGCCATCTATCAAGAACACAATTTGAAAGACCTTGCAGCTCCAGCGGTAGGTCGAAATGAATGCGTACTGCGAAACTTGTCCGGGAGGTTCGGGAAACCCTGTCAGCTCCAGAAGTAATGCATCGTCATGAGATGTGTGTTCGAGTTCGGCGAGGTGGAGCAAGCCATTCGAAGCAACTTGGACAACGCTAGGGTTGGGCCGCCAGCGCTGAACCATGTTGATGACCGTCACGGTTTGAGCAGACCAGATGAAGGCCGCGCAGTACTTCCCGGCGCCCGGGCCGGCTCTCGCCGCCACTGGCAGTTGGCTACCATCCGTACCGTAGGGCCCCTCGACTGTCTAGACATCATTCACTTCTACGGTTCCACGGCTGACCCCATCTAACAAGCGCAACACAGATTTCTATGTCGACGACAATGATTTCCGGGTGCGAATGGATCAGTGCTCGAAACGCGCACCTTTTTTCGTTTCTGTAAAGCTAATTTTTCCCGCTTGTGACACTCCAAGCAGTTCCCGGGCCCTGGGAGGACTTTCTGCTTACCTTGCGCTAACGGCCTTTGGCATGCTTACAGTCGGCCAGCTCGTCCAGTACCTGTTTCAAAGCCAAGTTGCGATATCTTCGACCGCGCTCGCTGCTGGTACAACCACTAGCAACATTTCGCATCGATCGTCAGGGAAGGAGAGTGGTCATATTCGATAGAGACGTGGCTCTACTATGCGCGCGAGTAATGCCATTGCAGGGTAGTATACGGACGGTACGTACTCTGCATTCCCGGCGTGACGCAGTAGCGCGACGGGCACAATGGAAGTACTTCCGTGGCGTCTATCCTCGCTCCCTTTTTCATCATTTACTGAAAATAAGTGACGCCAGTTCTCTCTCAACTGCGTTCCTAAAACGACAATGTCCGTAACGCTGTGTCACGCTAGAAGTTTGAACTCGATGGCTACAAGCACCATGCATTAACCACGTCTGCGCTGTCGGCGGTTCCAAGAGAAATTCGAACCATTAATATACCGCATTACTAGTGCCATTTACCCCGCGCACGTTTGCCGTCACCGCAGCCCGACTCACTCCGCTCTTTGCGCATATTTCTAGCGTGCAGAGTGAGGATCCCTACCGGCATGACCGTAAGCCTTGTGCTCGCGAAAGGTACTAGCATGCAGTCCGTAGCGAAACGCGCGGGCCGAGGTGGATATTATGGTGCGATGTTGTCAAGAGACACCATGTCATTGCCATCTGTGGATCGTGGACTGCGGTAGGTGCTCCGATGCTCTGCTAACGCACGATATGTTTAGGAAACGGAAAGCTTGCTGGAAAAAGTGGTACTCTGAGACGACCGTAACGTTACCATCTCACCAGCTCTATAAAAGAGGTGGCCTACCTCACCCAAACCCCAGCGATTCAGCACTCAGCGCATCAGCTCCTCTACCTCCTCACTTCTCACTCCAGCTCCAACCAGCACAAGTACGCCCTCCTCCACATACCACCTATTTTCTTCCACCAACGCTGACCGCGCCTTTGTTCATATCCACAGTCCAGCCATGAAGACCTTCTTCGTCCTCCTCGCCTCAGCCATCTCCTCCGCCCTCGCGGTCCCCGCGCTCAACGGCGTGCGCAGCGCCGCGTTCTACCCGAACCACTGCAACCCCGCGCCGGGCTGCACGCCCGCGCTGATCTCCGACTGCACGGACGCCATCGCGCAGATCAACCGCACCGCTACGTTCGAGGGCGGCGCGAACTTCACCTCTGGCGCGTGCAACGGTGCGTGTGCCCATTCGTTGACCACGACCGCCTTGCTGATGATGTGATGATCTTTGGTTTAGTCGCATACGGCCCGGCGAACCTCGGTAACACGAGCACGGTTTCCGGGTTCGAGTTCAGTGTCGTCGCGGCCGCCGTTGTGTCGTACTGCACCCCGTGCGGAGCCATCGGTACGGAGGGCGGCTGCGACAACTGCCGTGTTACCGTCAGCCATACTTGAGCTGCTGGAAGGTCAGAATGCCATTGTCATTTCCGGGCTTAGTATGCAGGAGCTGATGTTCCACCTCGCAGTGTGAACGCTCTGCTCGATAGTTGGGGTGGGGCTGTAAGATTATTTGTACGCGTTGTGGTGTGAAGGAGTTGATGGATCCGGATGTCGGTGGACTCGGAATTTTTGTTGTAGAACTTTGTTAGATCATAAATAGTGTCGGATGGACTTGCCATTTACTGAATTGTGCTGGCCTTGAGGCGAACGACTTGAATCTACTTCGAAAGCAGATGATTTCCTCCTCCAATCCATTTTGTCCAATGCATCGGCACGAGGATCTCTATCGAACCCAGTCATCGAACCCAGTCGATGCTCCCCAGACTTGGCCCCGTCATCTTCATATTCTTCGAACAGAAGATGTCGGAAAGAACGTTCCTGTTACTATCTTGTTCCTCCATGATAAGCAATGATATATTCGTGTGTACTACGCTACTCGATACGTTGTGCCTCGATCGACTACTACCTGCAAGTCGCGAAAATGAGATATCCGGAGCCACCGACCCGCCCACGCACGCGATTGCTGCCAATAAGAAGCAGGTACGTGGACAAAAGGTGCTAAGACGCTCGTGTCGCTCTGGGCATGGCTTGACACTCGAACAGCCGCGTAGAACGCGCAGCTATGAGCAACACTGGGGAAAATAAAGCCATGCAGCCGCACGAAGAAAGTGGAAAATTCGGGCTGGAGATTTTTGTAGCCTTGCCGTGGGAATTGAGTTAGGGCAGGCCAGTCGAAGCTTCTCGGCGTCAGCGTTGCAGTCCACGTCTTCAAGCCATTGTAGCACGTCTTCAAGGTAGCCTTCACCTTGCAATGGACTCCCTTCACCAACTTATGCAGCCCAGCCGCTATCATCCTGTGCTCCTCACAGCCCTGCAAATTTGACCGAAGATTTCAGACACGGCGTCTAGCTCTAGGAGACTCGGAGAGCAGGCCGGATTAGCAGCACATGGTCTCGCAGCTCACCCGGTCGACCCATATGCTCACAGACCTGCGACGTGTGCGACGGCCCTCTAGGGCCATCTCTCCTGCCCAGCAAATACCACTCTCCCATTCTGGCGCTGACCCAGCCGTTCTAGACAGTGCCTTATCGATTGCCACCCCGCAATCATAATAAGCACCCAGCAACTGGACAATCACGCCCAGCGCTCCCCCACACTCGACTTATCATCCACCCCCGATGTCCGCACCCCCGACCTTCTACCTCTGCGTCGACTGCGGCGGCACCAAGACCGCCGCAGTTCTCTGCTCCTCCACCGGCGCCATCGTCGGCCGCGCCCGCGCAGGGCCGTCGAACTACGCCTACCTCGGCCTCGCCAATTTCGTCGCGACCGTCCGGCACGCAATAGGGCTCGTGCTCTCCGCCGCGCTCGCGCTGCCGGACCCATCCACGCCGCTCGCGCTGCCCGTGACCAACGACATCGACGCGAACGGCGCGCCCGTGCCGCCCTTCGCGCTCGGCGCGGCGTGGTTCGCCATCTCCGGCGTCGACTCGCCGGTCGACATCGCGCGCCTGACGCCCGCGCTCGCGGAGCTGCTCCGCATCCCCGCCGGCCCGCGCCTCAGCATCACGAACGACGTGCACCTGCTCGCCGCGCCCGTGCGCATGCGTGCGGACGTGCGCAGCGCGGTGGGCTGCATCGGCGGCACGGGGAGCATCATCGTCAGCTTCGCGGAGGACACCAGTGCCACTCCTAGCGCGGAGGGTGAGGGCAAGGCGCCGCCGCTTGTGGAGCTTGCGCGCACGGGCGGCTGGGGCTGGATCCTCGGCGACGAGGGCGGCGGATTCGACGTCGGTCGCACGGCGCTGCGCACGCTGCTCGTGCAGCGTGATGCGGAGTCCGCGGGCGTGCCCCTGCCGCCGCCTATTGGAGCCGGCAAGGGCCTGCGCGAGCGCGTGCTGCGGCGCTTTGGGATCAGCGATATACTGGACGTGCTTGCGATCGTGCATCTCCCAGACCCGGTCGACGTGGAGCAGGAGATGAAGAAGGAAGCGGAGGCGAAGGAAGCAAGGGGGGCGGGGAAAGCGGTGGAGGAGGCAGTCTATGACCCACGGGCGCATGCGCGCGAGAAGCGGCTGTCGGCGCTGAGCCCGCTGGTGTTCCAGGCGGCGTTTGAGGATGGCGATCCGCTGGCGCTGCAGGTGCTCAAGGAGTGTGCGAAGAAGCTGGCGGATCAGGTTGCTACTGTGTTGGCTGCGCCTGATGCCGAGGTACGTATATTACTGGACCTGTTGGTGCATGATAGAGACTCATCATGGTCTGTTCCAGCCCTCTCCAAAGCGGGTCCGCGCTGCGTCCTCGATTCTTTCTGTTGGCGGCTCGGTCGTCAGCATCGACAAGTACCGCGCTCTCGTCCTCGATGCGCTCAAGGAGAAAGGCCATGTCTTCAAGTACGTAGAAGTGGTTGACGATGCGGCTGCAGCCGGCGCGAAAGCGCTGGTAGTCACTTGGGAGGGGTCGATCTGAGGTATGGAGGGGTCAGGAAGAGGAGGATCTGTAATTGTATGTACCAGTATAATTTTTCCGTATCCGCGCGCGTTCTACACATGGACTTATGAGAGGCTCAAGCTCAAGGGTTATAGCAGTGTTCGATGTCCCGCTCACCTGTACATTCTATAGCAGGCGTGTAGTACGCAGCCGCAGCCTCTGCCTGTTGTATGTAGACTTCTGGCGACCCGACACCGGAATGTCAATGATACATAAAGCGATCTAACGAACAAAAAGTCGTCGTGGACCTATGACCGTGGAGTCATGGGCGAAAACAGTGTGGCCCACCTTGTATTCGGATACGGGGAATCGAACCCCGAGCTACCGCGTACTAACAGGTATCTGAGAGGCGGTAATGTTAGCCATTACACCATATCCGACTCGAAAAATACCCCGCATATGTATTGTACAGGCATCTCATCGTGGGTAAACCAACCGCCTCACCGTCCCAGCGAAGCGTCATAGCTCACGAAATTTATCAAAAAAAAACTTGCGATATCGCCACTTGGGCCTGGCCGGGAATTGAACCCGGGACCTCCTCCAATCGCTTCGAACGATGTTCGAACCCTAAGAAGGAATCATACTACTAGACCACCAGGCCATGTGAGTGAGGTCTCTTTTGTAGGCCATATTCATTCACTCCAGAGTCCGAGAACAGTGCCATTGTCAGTATCAATCGTGAGCGAAACTGAACAGCTTCAATGCCCTGGAATTGGGGACGGCTTGTCTGGGTGAGCCTCCAGGTGATACCAAACGCTGGCAGAGCTCTAGATCTAGAGTTCACACCAAAATCTCTTACCGATATTTCACTGGGAGCAGAGATCAAACGAAGCATCAACGGATTCGAAGACGGAATTGAATATGCATACAAGTATCCTCTGGCATCCAAGCTCAAGCGCGCAGGATGCCCGAGCCCTACGTTCGTGAACATCATGATCAATACAAGTACCGGAAGCCCTTCTTGCGCTCGAGCGCCTCCTCGAACGTGATCCCCTCCAGCCGCGCCGCATCCTCGATGCGCTGGCGCTCCGCGTCGTCGAGCACGTTGAGCTCCGCCTTGTCGAGCTTCTTGTTCGCGCGGATGAGGGTCGTGCGGATCGCTGTGGGGTAGGTCAGCCGTCAGCCAACGGACCCCGGCGGAGGGAGAGGAGGGGACACACTGAAAGCGAGCGCGGTGGAAAATAGCAAGCTGGCGATGCCGATGAACATTGATTGGTGGTAGTCTGGGCCCCACTCTGCCTTCCAGGTGAATGAGCCGATCCTGTCCCATACGATCAGCCTCTGCGAGAATAAATGTAGAGGGAAGTGGCGGAGAGTACGCACAGGTTGCCGATGTTTCCGAACCCGTTCACGATACCCATCGCAGCAGACCGCTTCGCAGGCGGCCGTGGAATGGCATTGGACACCCACACAAGTGTGAGCGCGAACCCTGCCGCAAGATCAACTAAGAAAGCCAGCGTGAAGGAAGAGCATGAGAAACGCACCTCCATACCCCGCGGCCATGAGGAACATGGAGACGTAGCGGCCAGCGATGGACATCGTCGATATAGCAATAATATTTGCGATGATGACGCCCCAGAGCCAGATCGATATGTGGAAGAAGCGCTCGCCCGTCCTATCTGCAAGCGATTGTCAGTAACCGGGAGTACAAGGGGAGGCAGAGTGCGTACCGGCGTCCCATGCGTTGAAGCAGGCAATGATGGTTGCGAAGACCCATGGCGGTCTGGTGGGATGTTATATGTGAGCCTGGAAATTAGCGGGGAGAGGGAGAGGAGCTTACGCCTGGAGGAGCAAGCTGATGGTCGAGCCGAACCCGAGTGTCGATGTCAACCTGCAATCCACCAAAACAATTCGTAAGCATGAGTCCGAAACAAGAGGCAGGCCAGCACGCACGTAGGGAAGAACGTGACGAAGCTCAGGCCCAGCAGCTGCGAGCACGACATGAGCGCGAAAAGGATCGTCTTGGGGTCTTTGATGGCCAGCACGAAGCCATACCACGGCCTGCCACCAGTTCAGATAAAGGCTGCGGAGAGAAGGGAGCGGAGGGCGTACGATTCGCCGGCGGTATCCTCGTCGGCCTCACCTGCGTCTTCGGCGAGTCTGACTTGGGCGAGACGGCGCTCGGCGGGGGTCATCCAGCGTGTGTTGTGCGGCTAACGGTGTCCTGTGTTATTGAAGGTAATGTGGAACTGAAGGAACGTGTTACGCACGTAGTCTGGAAGTAGCCATCTGACTGGAAATTAGCAAGAAAAATTGATTTGCTAAGAAAGGCAGAACATACATCGCCAGTACGCCGAGAAATATCGTGATGCATCCCTGTGCGCCGTCAAATGGGTGAGTCCATGTACTGCAGGCTAGCGTTCAAACGGTGTACCTCGATGTAGAAGAGCCTGCAAATCCAGATCAGCTGAAACGTATACAGCAGAATGCAAGTCTTAATCCTACCAGCGCCACGCGCGGATACCACGCTTGCCTTCCATCGTGCCTAGGATGCCGGCAGCCATAAGCTGTCAAGCCCCGGCGTCAACAAGGGTACGCAAGGGGATAGGAAGGCTGACATACGCCTCCGATAGCATTGGAGATCAACGGTCCTCCGTAGAGGATCACTGAGCGGAATCCCAGCTCCTGTAAGATGTTGACTTATTGATGAGCATCATTGTCCAGTAATGAAACAAGAGAATCCTACCTTGCGAGTGTACCATCTCGACAAAAGGTAGACGGCTCCTGGGTAGAAGACGGCCTTGTTTCCTGTTAATCACCGAGCTGTTCCACGGGGTACTCAAGTTGGGACGCACCTCTGGGATACCGATGAAGATGCGGCAGGCTAGCATGCCCGCGAAGTTATGGGTTGCCTAGAAAGTATTGGTGTGAGATCATGTCGATCCCGACGAGAAGGTGCCACGACGACGTACGCCGGTGAGTGTACTGACGAGACCCCAGATGATGAGGCATCCGCTGATGTACCATGCAGGTCTGTCGTGCGGCTGGGTCAGAAAAAAAAATCCAACAGAATGTTAGAGATGCGCACCGTGTGATGTAGTTCAGGAGCTAGACACGACCCTTGTTAGTTGTTGAGATTCTGGCGACAACGAGAAACGAACCATATTGGAAGGTGCTTGGAATGGGCAGTATGTTGCGTAGAGGACCGCCAAGATTGCATTATATTGAATATCTGCAGAACCCTAGACATTGAGTACCTTCTGCGAAACGGTCCACCCAAACGAGAACATACCCGTCAAATGAAGATCCTCCTCCATGCCTGTCAGCCTAGCAGCAGCGACTGCCCCGCGCTACATGAAACGCGACGTTAGTTTTGGCCACAAGAAATCCACACACAACAGCGAACGATCCACTTACATCGACAAAGTTCATGATGAAGATAATGATGATCGTGGGCATGAGCCGGGTGTCCAGCTTCCTCACCAATTTCTTCTCGGCCTCCGCACGCTGCTCGCCCAGCAGTTCCGCATTCTCTACGTCCTTGACAGACGGCGCCCGCGACTTCTCGTCCGGGTCCCGCTTGTGCTCCTCGACAGAGACGCGCTCCTGCTTTTCGCTTTTGTCCATGGTCTTCGGATCTTCCATGATCGTGACGGCAAGCGAGGTTGGACAGCAGAACGAAGTGCGGCCTCAAAGAGCAGAAGCTGCGCCGTCCTCCACACACATATATACTGGATCTGTTATGGTAGCCGGAGGTCCGCGCCAGAAGCTCCGCGCTCCGGCTCACGGTGCGCATGCCCTGATGCAGATTATGACACACTTACGAACTGAGGCGTGCTGTCCCTGTGATAGAACCACCTGCGGTGCGTTTGAAGTTCGAATATGAATTTCAGCGGAGTCGTGGCTGCACCCCGTCGGTACGTGCCTACATCCCATATACACCCCGCCGATGCTGCTGGACACAATCAATCACCGAGCGCGGTCAAAGTCGAGCCCATCACGTCGAAGGCCCGGGGATATACGCGTGTCTGAAAGAAGATGATAAGGGTGTCATCTGTGCGACGCACCTTCCATGATTGGGAGGCGATGAGGAGACGGCGGAGGAAAACTGCCATGACAGCTAGCGCCCAATACTTGTGTATGATGGTTCGGTGAGCCGAGCGAGGTTCCTGCCCTGGAAGAGCAGCTGGTGGAGAGCTCGGCGGCGTCAATATCCACCTGCAATATCTCGTGTGCATTGCACGTGTGGTTCGGTGAGAACATTGAACACTATCAACCTGCACTTCTCCTTTCTCGGCCACACTAGCACTGCGCTGTACTCGAGTAAAGCGACACTAGAGCTTGAGATTGGCTTGAAACCTGGTTGAACGCTTTGCCACGGTCCGTTAGTATCTCTCCCTAATAAGAAAGAGATGCAGAAGCAGACCAGGTGATGATGGAACTGAAGCCTGATGGTCTGTAGGAGGCACGCTCGGTTATTGAATGGTGGTGAACGAAACGTTTCATGGTGAGAAATACTCACGGCCTCGCCGTGTGCCTCCAGGGTGTGACAGACGCGTGACGCGACGCGTTCGCCGCGGATATAATGTCACGGACACGAGGGCGCCCTGCCCGTAACTTCGTATAATGAAACCGATATGTCTTCTTCACGAGATTAACGGTTGAAAGGGCCTATTTAGCTCAGGTTGAAGAGCTGAGGCAAGAAGCATGTACTTTCTCCCGTCAGGCCTTCAGGCGGGCCACTGTACCCAGGCTAGCATCGAACGCTCATTCAACGCCGTACATTTCATTCCACTCTTCCAGATCTAGAAATACATCAATTCGTACAAGTCTCGTCCCTCGATGCCGTCAAAATTCGTGATAACAGCGCCAGCTTCCCATACACCCGTGCGCTCCCCGTTCAATACAAATACCTGAAGCCCTTCTTTCTCTCCAGTGCCTCCTCGAACGTGATCCCTTCCAGCTTCGCCGCGTCTTCGATGCGCTGGCGGTTCGCGGGATCGAGCAGCGCATCGATTTCGGACTTGTCGAGCTGCTTGTTCTCGGCGATGAGCATGCAGCGGATCACTTTGCGTCGATGGTCAGTTTGATGCTGGTCGAAGTAGGGCAGAAGAAGCGTGACATACGGAAGGCGAGTGAGATCGCGAGCGCGAGGCCGCCGATGCCGATGTACATCGAGGGGTGGTAGTCCGGACCCCACGCCGCCTTCCAGGTGAACGAGCCGATCCTACAATCGGGAGCATGGGTGAACATGGATCGCGATCACGAGGGTTGCACGACTTACAAGTTGCCTATATTCCCGAACCCATTCACGATACCGATCGCAGCAGAGCGTTTTGCGGGCGGACGTGGAATAGCATTAGACACCCACACGAGTGTGAGCGCAAACCCAGCGTATCCAGTGGCCATGAGGAACATGGCGACGTAGCGGCCGGCGACG